TGTTGGTCATCATAGCGGCGAGCATCGTCGTACATGGGTCGGTTTCTTCCGTACTGGTGCTGAGTCATCTGGCTCATGTACGAAGCATAGTGAGGGTTGGAGTAGTAGGGGTATCCGTAACCGTACGCATGAGCGGCACCTTGACCAGGCATGTGCTGCGCAGTTGGAGTTTGAGTAGCGGCGGGGAGAGTTGGGTTCGGGGTGTTGTGCCCGCTGCTAGGAGCATCAACATGGCCATAGCGGCTGGGAGGCTGAGTGGTGGGAGCTTGGGGCTGCACCTCAGCGCCGGAGACACCGAAACCAGCCGCCGCCCTTTGAGCCACAGAGGCATCCTGGGACTGGCCATAGGTGCCATAGTAGTTGTAAGGGAGGCGCTGGTCAACAGCGTAGAAAGGAGAGTATTCGCTGCCGGATGTGACAGTGGGCTGGACGGGGGCCTGGTTTGCAAATGGCTCCTGCACTTGGGGTTGAGGCTGGGTGACCTGCTGAGAGAACGGGTCGTAAGGCTTCTGGGCCTCGGTGTAGCGGGCAAAATCGGTGAAAGAGGAATCGGCAGCGGATACTTGTGGGACAGGAGGAAGTCCGGGAGCCGGACGGGAAACAGTAGGAGTCTCGGTGGATGGCTGGGCATGAGTGGAAGGAGGTAGAGAGGCACGAGGGGCGACGGGAGAGTGTTGAGGGGGCTGAGCACGCGTTTCAGCGTTTTCTCTGTTCTCGTCAATATCGACATCGGCAGCATCGCCGTTCAGACCCATGCTGCCAAACTGCACAGCCGCACGATCAACGGCGTGGTTTCCAGGCATGACTACAGCTTCTTGCTGTTCCATGACACGACGCTGCGATCCGGGGGCCCGAGCGCCGGACTTGAATACACTCGAAGGGAAGGCAGCTTGAGCAGCTTGACGAGCGGGGGTAGAGACAGCTGCGATGCTGTTGGCGTCAAGGGTGCTGCCCACTGTGCTAGCCGCAGTGGCTGTGGGAGCGGGAGGTGAAACATCGGGGATTTGTTCGAGGTTTGTCTTGGTCAGACCATCCTTGGGAGGAGTGATGTGTGAAGTGGAAGGAGTAACCGGGACTTCAGCAGGCTGCTTAGGAAGGACAGGTTCAGGTCCTTTCTCGACGGGAATAGGTACAGGGACAGGGACCGGGGCAGGAGCGGGGGCGGTAGCAGCAGCGGGAGCTGGAGCTGGAGCGGGTACGGGGGCAGGAGTAGGGACAGATTCGGCTGTTTTCTGCTCCGCTGCTGGCTCAGCGGCAGGCTGTTGTTCTTCGGCGGGAGCGGGAACTGGGACAGGCGCAGGCGCAGGCGTAGGTGTGACTGCGGGCTTCTTTTGCGGAGGCGGCGCAGGCTTTGCGAACAAGCTCGCCCAACCTTTCTTAGTGCCATCCGGCATCGCGTTGGCCTTCGGGGCCTCTTTGACAGCGTCGGTGGTCGTATCGGCGTCGACAGTGGTAGTTCCGACCTCGATCGATTTCTCGGGAACGATCGTTGTCTCCACAACGTCCACCGTGGCAGTGACAACGGGCTTCTCGGCGCGTGCCCCGTTAGCACTAACAGCTCCAGCTCGGGCGCCACGGCCACCACGACCACGATCTCCACGGGCGCGTCCACGACCCTCGAATCCGCCACGTCCACGGCCTGAGCGAACGGAACTTGTGGTTGCCTCGGTCGGGGTGCTCTGAGCCTCCTTGGCCTTGGAGCGGTTCCGGTCGGTCGTCTTTTTCTTCACCTCACCCCACTGTGAGACGTTGCCTGTTAAGATAGGACGATCAAAGTCAGAGCCAATTCCAGTGAACAGCAGATGTAGGGACACGAGATACAACTCGGGAAATCCATGATCATACCTTCAGTAATGCGCTCAATAGCATCCTCGAGTACGCCGTCGGCATCTTCCAGGGCAAAGACGAGATCCTCATCGGTCCAGTCAGGGAACAATTCCTTCAGTGTGGGCAGATCGTTCGAGTATTTCTTCTTCATCTGACCAATTTCTCCTTCATCTTCAAATGTGATCTGGTCTGAGGTGTCTGCCTTGGCCGATCTGCTGCCTCCGCGACCACCTCTGGAGCTATAGCCACCTCGACCACCACGAGCGGATACTCTGCCTCGAGAGGCAGAAGGCCGTGTTTGAACTTCAGACATATCTTCTGGTAGTGTTGATGTATCTCCAAAACGGAGCAATTAAATAATAGAAGAGGAGATTGAAGGAATTTCCGACGTCGACGGTGGGGACGACAAAATGTGGCTGACCTGAACGGGTAAAAAGAGGTCGCTGGGTAGTGGAAATGATCACAGCTGCACCCTCACGAGAGGACAGCACCAAAACCACGGGCACAAGGGCCGCCGAATCCGGGGACACAACGGGGGAAAAAGGGAAAAGAGAAGACGGAGGACGGAGGAGGAGGATAGCTGAGAAAAGGAAAAAAGAATAATAAGAAAAAAGGGAAGTTATTATAGACTTGTGGGGGGAAGAGGAAGTAGTAGAGAGAGTGGGAAGAAGGGAGGGAAGAGATTAATTATTGGGACTTTGGATCAAGATCGAAATGGCAGGGAACGAGACTTTCTGCTACTAGTAAGGTAGAGAAGGTTTGGGCCGGCGTGTGTCTGAAGGAGACAGCTGAGCCTGAGGCAAACAGCCGATCTTTTTGCTCCTTTAGCGAGTAGACTGCCTACTAGATATGGGGGAGGCTCTATGGGGTGATTTCATCATCTACATAGCCCTGAACTCCTTTAGAAATGAATACAGCTAGCTATTTTATCTCTGTTGACTATAATTGTCTAACCGATTGTATCGCCATCAATTGAGCTACTATTGACTTCTCTACATCTTAAAACCCTCCTTGACCCCCATCATTGTGGACAGTTTCGCCTCTCTAACCCTTTCCTCCTCTTGTGTGGCCTGCTTTGGTTTGGGTATCAGAAGACCATCCTTCATTCGCTGATTCCGCTCACCGCCCCCGTTTTTGCGCTTCCAAGGCGCTCAGGTGATGTTCGCTGCCTGAGGCTCGGAGTTCCCTTGAATGCTCCGTTTGAACTGCTGAGGGACAGGTTGAGCAAGAACTGAGATATACCACTCGCAATACCCCTCTACATCTACTCTATCAACCCCACGGCAGCAGAGTCAACATGAAGGGGCCGTCACTGTTCAAATTTAGCCCTTTCGCAAAAATTCATCAACCTCTTCCTCGTACGCCAAGAGAATCAGCGCAATTACTGAACGCCCTTACGTCCTCCTTCCGTCGCCAGCTTGATCGAGAGTACCCATCATCATCCTCCTCCGCCAATAACGATGAGAACGGCGACAATCCATTATCCTCCGTTCATGCGACCGACAAACATCTGAGGACTATTTTGGAGAATCCTCTTTTTCGCATCACTCCCTCAAATGCTGCTAAGCCTGCCCACCAATCCGGCCTTGGACCACTTCAGGAGCAGAAACTGGCGACTGAGCCTATGACTGTCTTCGATGAGTTGGTTGCCTCGGGTTCTGTTAATAAGACCGCTTTATTCAATTGTCTGAGGGCACAGCTAGTGCTCGCCAGCGCTCATACCGGCGATGGAGTTGTAGACGCGATGAAGAAGTCTAAGGCTGGTTCCAAAATCGTGTCCTGGTGGTACGCATCCGATTCCGAATCCAGGAAAATGCTATTCACGATACGATCTTCAACCGTCACACTTCTTAAGTTCATGGTCGCTGAGGGGCTACAGAAAACGGCGATGGCCTGGCTGGCAATGCTATTGAACCGTGACCTGGGTGGTGCTGACGGTCGCATATCGGAGGCCATGGCCCAAACCGTGGCTCGCAATTTCCTGCTCGACCTCTTGAAAGCTGAGATTCAGTACGGAGAGGGCTTGATCTCGGCCATGAGATACTATTTAGAGGCGAGCAGGCTGCCAATCTCTACAGATTACGAACTCGGCCTTGTTCAATACAAGAAAGCGCTACTAATGCCTGCAGCCGGGTTTTTGTGCCGCGCAGCCATGGAGGATGAACAATCACAGCTCAAACAGATGCCTCTCGAGATGTACGATGAATATGTGAGGATTATCGCTTCATGGTCTCTCAAGTCGTTACTACTAGCTTGCGTGCCTCTTTTTCACCCGACCCGACCCGACGCCACGCGCTTTGTGCAATTTACAGAGAGAATATCACGAGTTCGGCTCACAACATGGCCCAAGACGAAAAAGGAGAACTTTGTGCTCTATGCCATTACCGCCATTCGTATCTTGGTCGATCAGCAAAAATTCGCGGAAGCTTCATACTTGGCACGCTTCATTCAGGAAAATTTACCGGAAAAGTTTGGCCAGGAGTCGGCATCCAGCACGTTTGATCAAGTATCAGCAGAGGAGGAAAACCTATCCAACCTCCTGGGCATGGCATGATTCGCATTGGCTCACATGTTAATCATGTCGAATCAACATACACAAACACATCAGGTGTAATCCATTAGATCCCAGCTAATCGGGACCATTGGAGTGCCGTCTTTCAAGCATCGTTCATCGACGTCATGGACTTTGACGATGAGGGACGCACATCACACGAGGAAGCGCCCATCTTGTCCCAACTCCGCAATTGGTGCTCCACTCTGCCGCACTAATGCCACCCTACTCCTCTTCTTGGCATGCTTACCTACAACAAAGAACATCAGAAGCGCCGGACTACGCCAGAGCTGCAGGCCAGACCCTGGTGCTGAGCCCGGAATTGCATTCTGGTGTTGCGTTACTAAATCTAGCATCCGCTAACATGTTGGGGGTAAATAGAACAAATAACCGAGAAAAGGCTAGCGTTCTCGATGATCTTAGTCAACGTCACACGCGCAGTCTCCTCTCCATTCCTTCCACACTTGCTCATCCTCATCGGTGATACACTGTTCCAGAATCATCTATCCTAGCGATATCAGCTATAGTGATAATCAAGTCGCTTTTCTTCGAGACAATTATATCGTCCCCATTCCCTATACATGAATGAAGCACATATAAGTACACATTAGCAATCACAAATATGGCTACGGAAAATAACTCTGGCGTTGTAAACGGTCACTCCAAGCAAGGTATGTCCAGGATACAGGGCGCTGTCTGGCCGCCCGAGTTAAACTTCGACCGCATTTAATTACCCCCCTAAGCGTCCATAGAGCAATCAGACGCTAATGGATATCACCAGAGCCTACAATTCAAACCGAAGCAGAAGTCAACGGTAAATCGCTGGAGGATACTGCTAGAGAGACCAAGGACGACAGCCGTCCACGAGAGAGTGACCAAGCGCTACTTGCAGAGTCTGTCCCCAATCCAAACCAGAGCAGCTCGGAAGGAACCAAGTCTGCTGAAGACTCCAAAACCGTCGGTCCTTCAACTTCTCCAGAACAGGCCCTCGCTGGGGCTGTGACTGACGCTCAACCGCCATCTACCGCAGAGACAGCGCAAGCTGGAGACAAACAGGAACACAATCCATCTTCGACACCGGCCGATGATGACAAAGCTATCCCTGGAGAATCCGCGGAACCTGCACGTAAAAAGCAGAAAATTAGCGAAGAGAACGGTGTGGTCGAAAACGGTCAAACAGCTGCGCCGGCCACCGGTAACTCGACCTCGAATGCCACTGGCAACGGTGAGAAAAACTCGGGGCGCTCTAAGAAAGTGAAAGACACGGTGAAGCGTACAGTTCATACAGATGGTATCGGGAGTCGGACCCGCAGTCGGACCAAGGCTGCAGCGACTTGAGCTGCACTCCTTTGATTTTCGGGCTCTATCGACCTTCATAGCCTGATATTGAACGTCTGCCACGAGACAGTCTCTTTCCATTTCTCTTTAGCAGTCTTAGCAATGATAAAGCAAACTAGTACTCCTGCGTATCCATTGTATGAGCGCTTAATTATCACTTCGATATCTGCAAGTATATTCTGATTGAGGAAACCAGTAATACTTCAACACCATGTGTCAATCTTGATAAATAATCTTCTGACGTATAGACGAAGTCGTCCAGAGCAGGTACAAGCACAATTATCATGAGAAGCAATCCCAAGCCCTGTTGTATGTCAACGCCTTCTTGAGAAAATCCGATATCGGCAGAGGCGTCGTTAGTTAACTGAGGTACCCCAACCCCACGCTGAGTCACAGCCACGGAGCGGATCAACCGCTAACTAACTTATCACTGGAGAGGATGAGTCTGTGTCATAGCTCCAGTAGTCATCGTCCAAATTTCACTTTCCATATTTTGAAAACTCGATTTTGTTCTAATTTCTCTTCGAGCATTCATCAATTGAAATTCACAGACATGTCGAGCAATAAGATCTGGCTGCGCGCTGAAACCAAGCCCGCCGAGGCTCGGTCTGCCTGTGAGTTCTACTTGCTCTTGAGAAAAATGCCTGTTCATGGCGTTCTCAATCCATAAATCTTCGAATTGCATGTGCTGATTGCATGAAATAAAGTGACCCCGACTACCTGCAAGGCCCTTATGGATGCCGGCTACGAAGTGACCGTGGAGCGTTCCACACAGCGGATTTTCGACGGTGAGAATAATGTCCCCTGATTCCTGTTCAGGCCCAATCACTAACAGAACTGGCTTCGTGATAGATAAGGAGTTTGAGCAGGTAAATCGAGATTCGCACATAATCCCTTCTTCGGACGACATTCTCACGCACTAGTTGTACAGATCGGTGCCCCCCTCGTCGAGGAAGGTTCATGGGTGAAGGACGCACCCAAAGATGCCTATATCCTGGGTCTGAAGGAGCTTCCCGAGGACGATTTTCCCCTTGAGCACGTTCATATCTCCTTTGCGCACTGCTACAAGCAACAGGCTGGTTGGGAGAAGGTGCTCAGCCGGTGGCCCCGCGGAGGCGGCACCCTCTTGGACTTGGAGTTCCTCACAGATGACACTGGACGCCGAGTAGCTGGTGGGTGACGACTGTTTCTGCTTTGGATGAATGAATTAGTGACTTTCTTTCACCTACAGCTTTTGGATACTCCGCCGGTTATGCAGGTAAATTATCTCGTTTTGCTATGCGTCGCATATTGGCGAATGCTCACGCTATATACAGGTTCTGCTTTGGCCATTAAGAACTGGGCCTGGCAATTGACGCATCCTGAGGGCGAGCCCCTTCCTGGCGAGACTCCCTACGCAAACCAGGATCTGTTGATCGAGTCAGTGAAGGAGTCGTTGGAGTCTGGCAAGAAGCTGTCCGGCAGGCCGCCCAAGGTGCTTGTCATTGGAGCTGTGAGTGTGCATCCGATGAGCTGAGCTCTTCTCAGTGTACTGACCAAGTCTAGCTTGGACGCTGTGGCAAGGGAGCCGTTCAGCTGGCCAAGGATGTCGGCATTCCTGAGTCCGATATTATCCAGTGGGATCTGGAAGAGACCAAGAAGGGTATGCTTTCATTCTCATCTGCAGCCAGTGTACCTGCGCTAATCTAGTTTTCTAGGTGGTCCCTTCAGAGAGATTGTCGAGGATGCAGACATTTTCATCAACTGCATCTACCTCTCCGCTAAGATCCCTCCTTTCGTCAACACCGAAACTCTGTCTTCTCCTAAGCGCCGCTTGTCCGTCATTTGTGACGTGAGCGCCGACACGTATGTTCCTCTTCGGACTCTTGAGGAGAAAGGACGTTCTCGCTAACATTCTGGTCTTGTCTTACTCAGAACCAATCCCAACAATCCTATCCCTGTCTATTCCATCACAACCACTTTCGACAAGCCCACAGTCACTGTTCCCCTTTCTGAACGGGCCCAGGGCCCTCCATTGAGCGTGATTAGCATCGACCACCTCCCCTCCCTCCTTCCTCGTGAAAGCTCCGAGATGTTCAGCGAAGCCTTGCTGCCGAGCCTCCTGCAACTCAAGGATAGAAAGAACGCTCGTGTCTGGGAGCAAGCAGAGGACTTGTTCAACGAAAAGGTTGCTACCTTGCCCGAGTCGATCCGCGCTTAAGTTTGTTATCTCAACGCGGCCTTCCGCGAAAGGCCCGCCACATCGGATATCTGGACGCTCCCAATCTATAGGTTGATCTCTTGGGGGAAGCGATGACTTTTGTATATGCAGTAGTGCGTCATGAATCTCTGTTTAGAAAGACTACTACAATAGATTGAATCAATGAAAAGTTTTTGTGGAGACAAAACGACTTGTGTTCAAGCGATTTTGAGAATCGAGTCTTCTATATTCAGTCAGTCAGACGATGAAAGAAACCCAAGTCATTCTAAGTTGATGATAGTCCTGCTCTATTGTCAACCAAAATGCCCAAATATCTCGATTATGTTGATGAGAGACTGTTAATCTGCTTGACTTGCGCCTTTTAATCCAAAGTCACGTTTCGGTCATGCCATGTCTCTGAGGCTTAGATCCAGCACTATCAAAAGGGACACCATCACCACCCAACTACACTCGAGTTACAACATTTATCCTTCGAACTTCCAATCCGGCTGGTGGAGTCCAACAAGTGGACAATTATTATGACTGCGTATGGGATCATCAGGCCCTATTGACGATGATCTTCTTACCATTTGCGCAGGGGCACTATGGCTCTGCAGATCAACACCACTCAACTGACCCCGTGATCTCATATTGGTCCACGAACTGCGGGAGCACCGGAAGCCATGGTATCCATGAACATGCTCCTATCTTGTAGTCGTCAGGCGGACTTAGGACCTCCAATGTGGGGGGTTTCAGACGCTGTTGACGGTCGCTTGGCGTGGCAGGTTCTCCGGACGGACCGGGGGTTGAAGAGCGAAGAGCGAAGACGACGAAGCGACGAAGACTGATCAGATTCCAGCGTTTCCCTTATATTGTTGCCTGGATATTCATTTATGCAAGTATTATCATTCGAATGTTTCGACGACATGAATGATTATTTAAGCAGTTTATAAGCATGCGTGAGTGCCCCTTCTCGCCTTCAACCCCATTGTTCGGATTCCTCTCCACAATCCCACATCCTCGGGTGCTACGCTGTGTATGGGGCAAAACTTATCTGACGGACAATTATCCGCCCATAGCCGCCGCCCATTAACTGTCATCTTCACCCCGAATACTATCATTCGAAAAGGAAATCGAATTACAGGAGTTGAAGAATACTCATCGACGTTCTTGTCCTGCCGTTAGGTTCGCCATTGGCTTTCGGAGTGGCTCGCCTCGCAGTCAAGAGTCGAACCTCACCTCCCCCGCGTGCCGCCAATGGAGCGATAATCCTGGCGACGTTCGCGCATTCGAAGGACATTCTCAACCAATAGCACCAATAGGGCCCGCTCGCTGCACAACGACAACGTAGCTATGCAGGAAAAGTCGACGACCATCGCCGCATACGCAGCCGGAGCATCCCTCGCCGCTGTGGCCCTCTTCTACGTCTTCGGACCAAATTACACAATTGACGGCGACGACTCGAACGACAGTAACCGCAAGAAAAGCATTGTGGGGCTGTCGAATCCGGCAAACGACTGCTTCATCAACTCGATTCTACAGGCGCTCGCGGGTCTGGGCGATCTGCGTGTATACCTGATCAGGGAATTACATCGGCGTGAACTGGATGGACCGGACGTATATAACTCACTGCCGGAGGCAGATGAGACGCCGCGGGGGATGAGGCCCGAGAGGGTCCGGGAACTACAGCAGGGTACGATCACGCGAGCTCTGAAAGAGATGCTGGACCGATTGAATGAGCGCCCAATCTACAAGAAGACCATCACCAACCGGGCTTTCATCCAGGCTCTCGAGTACGCGTTCCGTACTCGGATTAGCCGCAATCAGCAGGATGCGCAGGAATTCCTTCAGATCGTTGCGGAGCGTCTTTGTGACGAGTACCATGCCGGGTTGAAGGCACGACAGCGTGCACAAGGTCTTCTTGCAACGCTGCCAGGTTCGGGCGGTGAAGAATCTGTGCAAAGCAGTGCTGTCGAGAAGGGATCTACTGAAATTGAAGTGCGGATTGACGATGGGACTGAGATGGGCCTCCCGGCAATCATCGACAACAAATTGAAAGAGATCGACAATGAATACGGATTTCCTTTCGAAGGACAAATGGAATCGCAGATTGAATGCCAGTTCTGCCATTATCAATACAAGCCGAACAAGACTTCATTCGTGAACCTGACGCTACAAGTTCCTCAGAAGAGCTCGACCACCCTCAGTTCCTGCTTTGACGGGCTGCTCAAAACAGAATATATCGATGACTTCCGGTGTGACAGATGCCGGTTACAACATGCTCTGGATGCCAAGATGGTAGAAATGAGCAGGTCTCATTCGACAAGAGATCGGGAGCGTCTCGAGCAAGACATCCAGCTGATTCGACATACTATCGCTACAGATCCTGAGAATCCTCCCGAAGGAGTCAGCCTTCCTCCATCGGACCTTGCACCTAAGCGAAAGATTGCTCGCCATATGCGCATCACTGTTTTCCCCAAGATTATAGCAATCCACCTTTCGCGCTCGATCTTCGATCGCAGTAGTTCTACGAAAAATGCCGCCAAAGTGTCCTTCCCTGAGAGGCTTCCTTTGGGTGGAATATTGAGCCAGAAGTGGTTCAAGCTGCTGGCCATTGTCTGCCACAAGGGCAGTCATAACAGCGGCCACTACGAATCTTTCCGACGTAACAACCTCTATCCACCTTTCTCTACTCCGGATGTCTTTAGTTCCTACGCGCAAAGTCGGGCGACCAGCGTCAATCCCTCTACTGCACCGAGTCCTCGTCTCGCGGCTCGCGGGGTCCCCGAGACAGAACCCTCCCCAATCAGCCTCTCTTCCTCGACATCATTACCATCCCTGTCGGGCACTTCGCTTTCCTCCCCAGCTCGTTCTCAGTCTGTGTCGGCGAGGGACTCCTCACAACCTGCGTCTCAGCTGAACGCGCCTCCCTCGCCGTCTGCTCGGCCCACCACATCCAGCTCCCGTGTATCCTTTCAGAGTATCCGCACCAAATCGTCAGGTTCTAAGCAGAATCTCTCGCCGCCGGGATCTGAAACCCAGAGTCCAGCTAGTGATAGTGGAGCCTGGAGCAAGTCCGGATCACGGCCATCCTTCATGAGTGAGCGGACCACTCCCAGAACGCCTCCAGAAGCACCAGCCCTGTCAAGTTCTCGGCTCCGTCGTCGCAAAAAGACGAACGATCGATGGTGGCGCATCTCCGACGAGAAGATCAAGGAATGCAAGACTTCAGACGTGCTGGGCATGCAGAAAGAAGTCTATCTCTTGTTCTATGAAATGGAAAAAGGGTCTTTGGGGCCTTAGGCGTCGCAATCGGAAGTTGATGGATGCGAACATGATTGAATGCACATACGCGACTCTTGTCAATTTTGGGTGCAGCGCATGTACGGAGTATGGCGGGGACATATTTGAAATAGACGATATGGACATTGATCGCATACGTACATAGTTTCTTCGTCGGGGCATTCCTCGGTCAGACATCATCTGGACATAGAAGCTTAGGATAGAACGGGGTTGATAGTCTTTGAATAGAGCTTCATTCCTGTCTCTAGACTGTAGTAAAGAAATTTGACGCCGCCGGCCTTGGTTGTCGGAAATCTCTACTCCGCTTTATACAAGTCGCACATGGCTGATGCCGACGATAACCAATTGTCCGGATAGCAAGAAGTCTGGGCCATAAAAAAGAAAGCAAGGGAATGACCTGGAACGGTAATTGACGGTTAAGGGGAGAGTTTCCCCGCTGCTTTCGCCGAGAATGTACAGAGGGCACGAAAGAAATACGGAGAGATGGGTATTTATTTTCGCAGAGAACCGGAGTCAATGAACCAGCTGTGATACTAGAATTGAGGACCGCACTCATTTGACGGAACACAGCTTCGATTCATCCTCTGAGGATACCCTCTTCATTATCTTACTGTAGTATTCTTTGGTCCTTTTTCACGCAAGTACATTTCATCCATTGACATGTGGCGTGAGTATAGAGAGAGCTTCAAGTCCATGACGCGGGCGATGATGTCATGTGATGGACGCGGGGATTTTCGGGTCAAGGAAGCAAGCCTGAGGCCCAACGGGCGTCATGGCCCCTCTAGGACCAATTTACCCCACCAGTCATAGAGAGAGCTGCAGCAGCAGGATAGCTCAGGATTCTTATTATTCATAGCGAAGGGAGTTAGGGGACTCTAGTATGGTGGTCATTATATCATCTCGTCCATTTTCCCTTTTCCTTCTTCTCTTCTTCTTATTCCGTACCTCTGTACTTACCACATCATCAGGAGAACCGGTTAAGGCAAACTGAAATCATACTGACTACATCAATTCCCCACCACCCGGTGAGTTCTTCAAGGCATCCCACTGCTTGCTGCCCCTCCATTAGTGGCTCACTGCCCCTCCCCTGCGTGCTACTTATTTAACTGCCACCGTATTCGTCGCCCGGTAAAGCTCTTCGGTGATCTTCATTGAATTAGAAGAGTACTAAAAAAGTTTTGTTGTTTCGTGATCTAACTACTTATCTATCCCGTCTCCCGTCCAGATCTTCTCTCCTCTTCAATCTCATCAACTCGATCCATCCAGACATTCTAGTCGCATCCAAAACCATAGTCACAATGGGTATCCTCGACAAGCTTTCCCGCAAGTCCGGCGTCATTGTCGGTGATGACGTCCTCCGTCTCTTCGAGTACGCTCAGGAGAAGAACTTTGCTATTCCCGCCATTGTAAGTTTCCTGACCGTTATAGCTTGCGCAACACGTCGTGGTACATGAACTCGACATACTAACAGCTGAATTACAGAACGTCACCTCTTCCTCCACCGTCGTCGCTTGCCTTGAGGCCGCTCGCGACCAGAACTGCCCCATCGTTCTCCAGATCTCTCAGGGTGGTGCCGCCTACTTTGCCGGAAAGGTATGAGACTACGTATCTCCTTGTAACTGTTCCTCAATCGCAGGATAGAGCTAATCCATTGCAGGGTGTCAGCAACGATGGCCAGAAGGCCTCCATCGCTGGTTCCATCGCCGCTGCCCACTACATCCGCAGCATTGCTCCCGCCTACGGCATTCCCGTCGTCCTCCACACCGACCACTGCGCCAAGAAGCTGCTTCCTTGGCTCGACGGTATGCTCGACGAGGATGAGCGCTACTTCAAGCAGCACGGCGAGCCCCTCTTCTCCAGCCACATGATCGATCTGTCTGAGGAGCCCGTTGACTACAACATTGACACCACCGCCAAGTACCTGAAGCGTGCTGCCCCCATGAAGCAGTGGCTCGAGATGGCAAGCTCTCTTTCATCTGGCGTTGTGTGCGTAAGCTAATACCTATTTAGGAAATCGGTATCACTGGTGGTGAGGAGGACGGTGTCAACAACGAGGACGTTGACAACAACTCCCTGTACACTCAGCCCGAGGACATCCTGGCCATCCACAACGCTCTCGCCCCCATCAGCCCCTACTTCTCCATTGCCGCTGGTTTCGGTAATGTGCACGGTGTCTACAAGCCCGGCAACGTCCGTCTGCACCCCGAGCTTCTGAAGAAGCACCAGGCCTACGTCAAGGAGAAGATCGGCTCCAAGAAGGACAAGCCTGTCTACTTCGTCTTCCACGGTGGCTCTGGTTCCAGCAAGGAGGAGTACAAGGAGGCCATCAGCTACGGTGTCGTCAAGGTCAACCTCGACACCGATATGCAGTACGCCTACATGTCCGGTGTCCGTGACTACGTTCTCAACAAGAAGGACTACCTCATGAGCCCCGTCGGCAACCCCGACGGCGAGGACAAGCCCAACAAGAAGTACTTCGATCCCCGCGTGTGGGTTCGTGAGGGTGAGAAGACCATGAGCAAGCGTGTGCAGGTTGCTCTGGAGGACTTCAACACTGCTGGCCAGCTGTAAAGGTCTCTTGGGACGTTCTTCTACCTTTGACTTGGGAAAACCGAGATTTCTATTTATCTTCCAGATACCAGTACATAAAATGAGCAAATGAATGGATCTAAGAAATATTATTGTCCCTTGTATTTCAAGGTCGAACTTGCATAGATGTAGTATGCACGTTATGACGAGCAACGACGACCCTAGTCTCTGATCGAGTGAAGTAACATTCGTATGCGAGTATTAACCTACTGAATCCACGATAGAAAGGGCCAATGGTGAGAGAAGTAAGCGCTACGCAATGGATATTCAAATCATCCACATGGCTGACGTTGCTTCATGAATCAGGCATGACCAATAGTCGGTGCCTCTTGGTTTCTTCTGCGTTTCAGGTTCGGAACTTAGACTGTGTGCTATGTTTCATAGAAGGGAGACATAAAAACGTCGTCTTGAACTAATAATGGTCTCTATCCCCCGTATGGCTTGTGATTGGATTCAACTTAATGCTATTGGTTTCATGAACGGAACAGGATATATATGAGGAAGCCATATGGCTTCTTATAGTGTTTCCCTCCCCTTGGTATTCGCTAAAGCTGACATAACTGCGTGGAATCGAATAAGCGTGCATTCAAAAAGAACTTGAGGTATCTACAGGGGAGTTCAAGCCTTACGGCTTCCTACTTCATAGTCTCCTGCCTACTGGCGAATACGAGCATAACGGCCAAAAGGCAGATCGACAGATCGACGGTCATTCTTGTTTGCATGCCAAGGGAGGTCTACTACGTCAGTGGCGAGTCGCGAGCTTGCAATTCAGCGTCCATGCTGAAGTTCCTAACTCGTAGACAAGAGCTGAAACTATAGCATACAGAGTACTCCGTACCTAGATGCGACCTCAACCCTCACCCGCAGTGATGCATACCAAACTCGATGCAGGGCTCAATTGAGCAATCATTATTATTGGTCTACGGAGAACTCTGTACTCCGTACCACGCTAACCTCGGAGGAGACCGAGAAAGATCCGCTCTAAGGCTTCAGTAGAGCTGCAGCTCCGACTATTGCATGGTAACGTGATCAAGCCGGAGACCGGTGCTTAGGTAGTTTTTTGCTTCCGTTCTATTCTTGTACCCTACTGAAGACCCTCCGGAGTATTCTCAGAAGGCGATAAAATACTCCCAACTTACCTTAGCTGGACAACATGAGGATGAGAACCAATCAACCCCAGTGTAGAGCTGTGTGTGGATAGGCGACTCCACCGGACCTTTCCAGTTGTCTCAGAACTTGGCCTGAAAAGGCCATGGAAGGATAAAACTCATACACAGTACCTAGCTAGCTGACTTTGCGTGTAAGAATACTGCGACCCAAGAGGTAATGTTCCAGACTCGACACTAGTGGCAAACGGTGATTCGTGGGCGAAAATAGCAGTCGGCTAAAAGTGCAATAGTGTCCAATCATAGTGGTCGATCATTGACTGTGGAGTGGCATCTTCTTTTTGTTCCATCATTCTTCCCTTTGGGTTTGCCTCTTCCATCCGCCTTCTTATTCTTTTTTGTTGCCAACGGAGCACACTGGGGTTGAAGAAGAAACATGAAATGTTCCGGTGGGTTGGGGAAGCATGGCTGATGTAACAACCAAGGTTGTGCATCTCAAACTGAGTGATAATAGAATGTACCAGCTACCGACTGTTCATCAACCAGGGAAAGAATCTGATTACGTACGGTCATCAGGTACCGATGGATATAGATGAAAAATCACGAGTATAGGCCAAAAGGTCAGTTGACGGTCTCAATATTGTGATCTATAGATCAGCAGACATCTGAGCAATCAGTTATCTCCAAGGTATCTATCTCCATGGTAATCTGTATCTGCTTTGTACAGTTTATCTCATCTTCGACATGCATTAACCATGACTCCATTCCATTGATGTTTAACCTCTACCTAGCCTAACTAATCCCTGTTCCAGACCCGCCTCCACCGAACCCACTTGCGAGCGGTCTTGTCCTCTTGTTGCTACTGTCTTGCGTTGTTCTCCGCGCCATTCCTAGTCATTCATTATCCGTCCGTTTCAATCTTTTTTATCTCCTCTTTCCTGACTTTTTTTCTGTGCTCTGCGTTCTTCTTTTCCTATCATATAGTCATTCGTTTTCTGCCATATACCTCTATCCTCTGAATCGCCTGGCGAGACCCTCACCGCCCGCTCTCTGTCCATGCCGCAGTAGATTCTAGATACCATGAACCACTTCGCTCTGCGACAGCGTGACGATCCGTCGGGCGCTGAGCAGTTTCTCAAGCTTATTCAAGACCCTTTCAAATCGGCTGTAAGTACTCCAAATCAGTCTCGATTCTGCAATCGCTAAATCATGTCCGATAGTTCCAAGTCAATGCCGTGTGGGCTTCGCTAGGCGCCTCCGCCGGTATCTCCCTCCTCCTCGCCCTCCTCTTCTCCCTCTTTCGTCCTCGTCACACCCTTGTATATGCGCCCAAAGTCAAACATGCGGATCGCAGACATACGCCGCCCCCAGTGGGCAAGGGCTTCTTCGCCTGGATGAGACCCGTTCTGCGCACGCGAGAGCCCGAGCTGGTGGAATGCATCGGCCTCGATGCGACCGTCTTCCTGCGCTTCACCAAGATGTGCCGCAATATCTTCATCATTTTGAGTATCATCGGATGCGGCGTGATGATTCCGGTTAATCTCACCCAGAGTAACGGTTCTGGGATCTCATCGTTGTCGGCGTTTGCGACCATGACCCCGCTTTATGTCACAACGGAGGCGATTTGGAGTCAAGTCATTTGTGCCTGGGCCTTCGACATCATCATTGCCTACTTTCTTTGGAGGAATTACAAGGCCGTAACAGCCTTGCGGAGGAAGTATTTCCAGAGCTCGGACTATCAGCGCAGTCTGCATGCTCGAACCTTGATGGTGTGTTACGCCCCGCCAAGCAGTTGGTCTACCATCCATTACTGACCGTTGTAGATTACGGATATTCCCAAAGAGGCACGTTCGGACGAAGCGCTTATGCGCCTTGTGGATGACTTCAACCCCACAGCTGCTCTCCCTCGGGCCTCCATCGGCCGAAACGTCAAGGATCTCCCCGTGTTGATCAAGGAGCATGAGGAAACCGTGCGCCAACTGGAGTCCGTTCTGGCGAAATATTTCAAGCGGCCCGACCAGCTACCTGCCAAGCGACCGACGATGCGTCCTTCGAAGAAGCAAAGAGGCAATCATCCGGATTGCAAGGTGGATGCCATTGACTACCTTACCGACCGCATCCAGCGTCTGGAAGAAGAGATCCGTCACGTTCGTGCCTCTATCGACAAGCGCAATGCCATGCCGTTCGGTTTCGTGAGCTGGGATATGATTGAGCATGCGCATGCTGTCGCCTATACCGCGCGAAAGAAACACCCCAAGGGAACTACGATCCAACTGGCACCTCGCCCGAACGATCTCATTTGGGAGAATTTGCCGTTATCCAAGCAGGCACGAAAGTGGAAACGGTTCATGAACTTCATCTGGACTACTTTGTTGACCGTTGTATGGATCGCTCCCAACGCCATGATCGCCATCTTCTTGTCCAACTTGTCCAATCTGGGTCTGGTCTGGCCTGCGTTCCAGACGTCGCTCAATGCGAACCAGGAAGTCTGGGCCGCTGTCCAGGGTATCCTCTCACCGGCCATCACCTCCCTGGTTTACCTCCTTCTACCGATCATCTTCCGTCGCTTGTCCATCAAGGCGGGTGACGTGACCAAAACCTCGCGAGAACGCCACGTCCTGAGTCATCTGTACTCGTTCTTCGTCTTCAATAACCTCATTGTCTTCTCGCTCTTCTCGGCCGCGTGGACATTTGTGGCCGCTGTCGTCGACGCGAAGAACCACGACGAGGACGCCTGGCAAGCGATTAAGGATGGCGCTTTCTACCAAAAGGTCATGAGCGCCTTGTGCCAAGTGTCTCCCTTCTGGGTGACCTGGCTGCTGCAGCGCAACCTCGGAGCGGCCATCGACCTCGTGCAGCTGGTCACTTTGTTCTGGGTTTGGTTCTCCAAGACCTTTCTCGCGCCCACGCCCCGGCAGGCCATTGAATGGACCGCGCCTCCGCCGTTTGATTATGCGAGCTACTACAATTACTTTCTCTTCTATTCGACCGTTGCGTTGTGTTTCGCGACGCTGCAGCCCATCGTACTTCCCGTCACTGCGTTGTATTTCGGATTGGATGCGATGTTGAAGAAGTATCTGTTGCTCTATGTGTTTGTGACGAAGACAGAATCGGGCGGCCAGTTCTGGCGCGCCCTGTTCAACCGGCTGGTCTTTGCGACCATCCTCTCCAACGTAATTATTGCGCTGGTGGCCAAGACCAAAGGCACCTGGACCATGGTCTACTGTGTGGTTCCTCTGCCATTCCTGATGCTGGCATTCAAGTTCTACTGCATGAAGACATTCGACGACGAGATCAAGTACTACAACCGAGCGAACCTGACCGATGCGGAGGCGTTTGCTGTCGACAAGTCGGGCAAGAAAGGATCTGACCGGCTCAGCTCCAAGTTCGGCCATCCCGCCCTGTACAAGCCTCTGATCACCCCGATGGTGCACGCCAAGGCTGCCGAAGCACTCAAACAAATCTATCGCGGGCGACTCGGCTCCTCGGACGTCCAAGGAGAATACTCGGACATTGCAATGGATCCCATGTCGACAAGGCAACCGGGCAAGGCCATGGACGCCGGCCCATCGGCACCCTTCGAGGTTGTTCCCGAAAATCATCTCGACTTCTCCTACTTCAAAGATCGTCCCGACTTCCGTGACGAGTTTGGTGGGGGCATCTATGGCCGCCCCGAGGATTTGATGACTGAACGGTCCCATACGCCGCGTAGCCACTTGGCCGAATGGTCACCGACCACATCCCGCGCGTCGTCGCCTACGCCGTCGCTGCCGTCGCTCTCTGGACTGAAAATGCCCGAAGGCTACGACCCGATCGCGAACGATATCCACCCTGCCTTCCGGCCTCCGCTCTCGCGTGAGGAGAGTGCGGCGACGGGCACCGGTCTGTACCATCACCGGAGCGCGAGCGAGTCTCAGCAGCTTCTAAACCAGGCGCAGGTGCCCGGGACCAGCGAGATCACACCTGCTCCCCTGAGCCGATGGCGGACTGGAGGATACGGGCCTGTTGGGCAGGACGATCCCAACTTCACCTCGTATGAGCACTACCGTCCTGCGCGGTAGTTGCAGATTTGTACAGCTGAATGGGATGGGTATGTCATAAACTTGATATTTGCATAGATTTGGTCGGTGGGATTTGGTTTGACTGTACATTTGACACGGGTTAACGAACTTTACGCCTATATCACATTGGATGACATTTGATTTATTATTATGACTTGGTATACCTGTAGAAACTAGCTATATATTTCTGGATACGATTAAGTAACTTCGTCGGAAGTCTTCTGGTTTGACATGTCACTTTGATGTATGCTTACGATTTTCCCGATTGGGCCGACGGCGGAGGCGAAGTCAGCTTCCGGTACCTGATAAGGTAGCCCTCCTTACTTACGGAGTAGTTTGCTTCCTCTCTCCTGAAATCAGATCAGAACATCACATCCTTTTCCCTCTTTGCAGTCCGCAGTTCTCTTCAATAAGCATGCTTTTCAAAGTCTTACTTTGACATCTGTGTCACTGTCGCTAGACTCCTGACCCCTGTCCGACGATATCGTACGCCTCCGCACCAAACCGAGTCCTCGAGCTCCGCATCGACTCCCTCACCCCTGCCATCCGCCAGGATCTTACCACTCCCTCTAGCTCTCCCGAATGCTCCGCAGTAAGCGAGGAGTCTCTGTACCCGAGTCAAACGCCTTATACAGCATCTCAGTCTACTGAGCATTCCCCTCCGCACATGCTCCCCGCCTGACGATACGGCGTCCTCCGCATACGAAGAACAACTACATCAGAGAAACCCAAGAAAAACCATGGCGTGGTACTCCATCCTCCCCCCAGACCTAATCTACGTCGAGAGCTGGGCCGCTAGGATCTTCGTACGCCTCCCTCATCTCCTCCCCTTGAACTGCGCTGAGTGACTGTAATGCTAATGCTAATGTGTGGCCGGATCAGGTTTTCCTCGGCATCGTCACCATATTCCCCTGGGCGGCGCTGATCGTCTTCGATGTGCTGCTGTATATCTGGCGGATGGGGGCGTACGAGTTCCCCGTCGTCGGGGGCCGGGCGAGAGGGATGCAGCGGCCACGGGCGCCAACTTTGAATGTAAATGTTAGTGAGAGGAGTGAGGTGCCCAGGAGGGTGTTTGGGCTTGGGCCGGCGGTTAATACCGTGGGTGCTGGGGAAGTGCGTGAGCAGGTGGAGGTGAAGAGGAGGGAGAGGGTGGTGACGGGTACGGATGGGTGATGGCCAGGCTTGTTGTATGACTGCAGGTGTGGTTGCTCGAATGCGGGTCTGTTGTTTCTGATGTTGATTTGTGCATCTCTATTGATATTGATACCCATATGTTTATTGTTCTTGTGTCTGTGGTCTACTGAAGGCGGTTGTTTATATTTGTACTGTATGTATACCTCTAGGTGATCACACGTGGTGTCCATGAGCGCAACTAATGCACTATTAGCCTACCGATTCAACATCTGCATAGCTTAGATGATAACACCAGAGTATCATCCATGATGATTCGTTCGGTGATTGCGTCGAGTCGGCGTTACTCCGCGGTTCCCCGCGCCAATCGTGGCACAGACCGAGCTGATATCCTCTTGACTCATTTCCAGGTTTATGTTCTGGTATAAGCGAGAGCTATGGACATGCATGTCCGAGGTGCTAGACTCATCCCTCGTAACGGCCATGTCTACTCGATTTCAGAATCACATCGAGTCATGGAGACTCTACCTCGAAAGAACCCCATCCATCATCTTATTTCTAGTCCTGGGGATCGGGACACTGGCATTGACATTCGCATACTATCACAAGGTAGAAGTCCGTCTCCATCATGCTATCCTCTCGTATCTACCCAACCACTAACACAGTCAGAACATCCCATCCAAACATGAACCTCCCGAAGAGGGATACCCCCCCATCACCCCCCTCCCCAACTTCAACTGGGAAACGACTGAACCACTGGCCCTCCGGCCCTTCAAGCCAAAATACCACTTGACGATGGGTACGCCTTGCTCACTCCCCGTAGATCCTCTGAGGAACTAACGACTCAGCCCTCTCAACCATCCCCATCTCGGACTTAATCCCCATGGACAAGACCTACAAAGAACGGATGGCGCTGCGCGCGTCTTTATTGAAAGAGTACCCCGACGTCGTGCTCGGCGTGCACGATGCAGCTGACCCGCGGATCCGCCACGCAGCGGGTGAGTTATATGCCTTTATTATGGGGACGTATCTGCCGACGCGGTATCCGACAATGTTTTCCCTTTCGGGCAGCAAGTCGGTGGTGTTGGAGAACAAGGTTACGGGGAAGACGTACCCCGTAGATATGGAGGATCAGCCTATCCTCAAAGCTCTAGAGAACCTGGGCCAGACAGTCGATGAGGATTTCCTTATCCTCTTGCCTGAGAAGATGCAGGACGCCTCTGGTGGAGAGGAAAGATACTTCCTAGCGGCATACACCGCATACTTCCCCTCTGGGTTCGACACACGCACGAAACTCGGGCTGCGGCTTGCAGCCATCCATGACCCGGTCCCCGGGTACAAGGAGAAGCTGGAGCGGAGCATGGATCGGTTCTTTGCGAGGGTGGAGGTGGGGAAGGTCGTGGCGAGGGTGAACTGGAGTATTACGACGGAGACGGGGCTGTTTGCTGCGTTTGGGGGCGTGCATGGCTCTGCTGCGACCTCTGCGGCTGGAAAGGAGGAGATTGAGCCGGGGATGTTGGATGTTGATTCGGTGGGTGATCTTATTCTCCTTGGGGTTGTTGCTATGCTTATGCTTATGCTGAGGTAGACGGTTCTCCGGTGTGAGCGGCAGACGCTGCATCGGCTGCCTCGGAGCAAGGCGCTGATCTTTGCGTTCCATACGTATACGTATCCGCTGCAGACGATCAAGGAGGAAGGGCTGGGCGAGGAGCTGGCGACGGCGATTGATGGGTTGAAGGCGGGCAATGTGCCCGGGATGCATTGGTACAAACGGGGTTCTGTATGGGGCGAGGCCGTCAAGCACTTTCTACGTAGTTGATTGATGACTATGCATTTTAGATTGGCTGATTCAGCTGTTCAAAAGGACTATCTAACCCAATCGCTGAATGACCTTGATGAGATCGGCCGTCACGCCCATGGCCGTGACATCGCCGCCCGCACCGGCGCCCTGCACAATAAGCGGGTTGCTTCCGTACCGCTTGGTGTAGAAGCTGATGATATTGTCACTGCCCTTGAGCCCCGCAATGGCACTGTCCTTGTCGAACTGCTGCAGCCCAACGCGCACCTCTTTCTTTGCTACGTCCACACTACCCACATACCGCACGACCTTGCCCTGCTTCTCGGCCCCCTCCTTGATGGCCGCCATCTGCGAATCGAAGTTAGGCAGTTCACTCATGAACTGCGAGATGCCGTCCGCGGTGGAAGGCAGCGACGCCAGCTCGGCGGGAATCAGCGACTCGATGGGGAAGGCGTCCGGGCCCTGGACCTCGAGACCCGCAATGCGCGCCAGGATGGTTAGCTTGCGCGCCACGTCCATGCCGTTCAGGTCATCGCGCGGGTCGGGCTCGGTGTATCCCAGCTCCTTGGCCTGGGCGACAACCTCGCTCCACTTGGCGTTGGAGGCGCCCGAGACAGGGGCAAAGGTGTTGAAAAGGAAGGAGAGCGTGCCGGAGAACACGCCCTCGATGCGGGTGACCTCGTCGCCGGTTGCAACGAGATCGCGCAGCGTCGAGATGACAGGCAACCCAGCGCCGACGGTGCTCTCGTGATAGACGAGCGCCTTGCCCTCGGCGGCTGCGGCGAAGATCTCCTTCCACAGCGAGAGGTCGGAGGAGAAACCCTTCTTGTTCGGGGTGACGATGGAGATGCCCTTGCGGAGGAAGACCGGGTACGAGCTGGCTAGTGCCGGGTCGCTGGTGTTGTCGACCAGGATGGAGCGGCCGGGGGCGGAGGAAAGATAGGAAGCAATCTCTTCGGGCGACAGAGCACCAGACTTGGTGAGCGAGGGGGACTCGGCGGCCGCCTTCCAGTCACCGGCGGGGATGGCAGGCGAGTAGGCCGGTGTCGGGGCCAGGAGGGTTTGTGTTGAGCGGGCGAGGAGGATCAGCTTGGGGGCATTTGGAAGACGGGCAAGTTGGTTCAGGAATGCGGTTCCAACACCACCGACGCCTGCAATGCATGGATTGTAAGCATGAGTCAGTACTCCGGTGTAGCAAAGGTGGGATACTCACCGATGACACCGAGATAGATGTTAGACATGGTCAATTGTTGGATTTCTTGATCTTTGTGGCAGAAATGACTATAGACAGTGCACAATTGCAACAAACTTTTTAGTAGAGAATGGACAGGATCACAGGAACAAAGATAGCAGAGGATGAATTACAAAAGTAGCAGAAGCAACTCTCTAATCGTGGAGTCGCGGGGCAGCGATTATCGGAGTGGTGCCTGAGGCATATATGGTTATCTAATCGACATCGGCTTTAGCTACACATACAACATTTGCTCTTCATCTACCGGAGTAAAACATCCAACGCTATCGCTCACCAGCCAAATCACAAAATGTCAAATACAAATCCATCCCTCTACGGCCTCCCCCGACATAGCCAAAAATCCTCCTCTCAATCAACCGCCCCCTCCGCCTCCACCCTCGCCTTCACCACCCAGCTCTCCTCCCTCATCACCAAAGGCACCGAGTCCTCCGCCCGCGGCCGCCCTCGACCCTCCAAATCCTCCAAATCAGACATCTTCGCCGTCCACAACAAAGGCGCCCAGAAACGCGCCGCCGCAGACCTTCGCGATGCCGACGACGACGATGCCGAAACCTCCGTCCGGCAGATCCACAAGCGCACCGCAGACATCGGCGCCGTCGACGCCGCCACCCTGCACCGCTCCAAGCGGCGGCTGCAGGAAAAGGCGCGCATGTACGAGGATCTCAAGAGCGGGCTCTACCTCGCGGGCGACAGCGATGATGACGAAGAGATCACCTCCCGGGATGATTACCTGGCACGACTCCGCCGGAAGGAGAAGGAGGGGCTGGTGGATTTCGATCGGAAGTGGGCCGAGACGCAGCGAGCGAGGGGGTCAGATGACTCGGCTTCTGATTCTGACGGGGAAGACGCCGAGGCCGACGATAATGCGTCGATCGTCTCGTATGAAGACGAGCTTGGGCGGACCCGGCGCGGGACGAGGGCCGAAGCTGCGCGTGCGGCGTTAGCTAAAGCGCAAGAGAGCGGGGAAGGCCGGGGTCCGGAGCGGTGGAAGCCTGCGCGGCCGGAGAAGCTGATCTATGGGCCTGCGGTGCAGGCGGAGGCGTTCAATCTGTCGTCGTCTGCGGCGGAGCAGATGGCGTCGCTGGCTGCGCGGCGGGACCGGTCGCCTACACCGCCGGAGGAGACGCACTACGATGCGGATGCGGAGGTGCGGAATCGCGGGACGGCGTTCTATGCGTTTGCCAAGGATGAGGAGACGCGGAGGAAGCAGATGGAGGAGCTCATGAGTGCGCGGGAGGAGACGCAGCGTGAGCGGGAGGCTAGGCAGGCGAGGCGGGCGGAGCGACAGCGGGCGAAGGATGAAAGGAGGCGGCAGATTGAGGAGCTACGGACTAAAAGAAGGGCGGAGACCTTCCTGGCGGGGTTGGGAGATCTGGGTGCTCTGCAGGCGGATGCATCCTAGACCCTGGAGTTTCTTTTTCTAACTTGCTGTACATTATGATACCCTATTGCAACATTAACGCCAGAGAAGCGAATACACCAGATATATGAACGAGGCAAATAAGCCGCTCAAATGATAATTTCTCATGACAGTCATGGCACATAAATCGTGGGTATTATCTATTTTGTCATCAAGTTCGTCCAATGTTTCCCTATACGGTCCAAAGTCTCACTGCGATGGTTCTAGCGAGTATTCGCCAGCTCTGCGATGGTCTCTACGAAACCTTGGGCATCTACACCCGTCAGTATTCCCTGGAACCCGGAGAGTAAAGTACTTACCAGCGCGATTCGTAAACTGCAATATATGCTCCCCCCTCGACATCTTCTGCGGGGTATAATCCGCCGCAAACATGAAGATAGTCTGACGGAGCTCACGCAGCACAACCACCTTGGAATCTGGACGGCGGATCCAGCCTCGCGTCCCGAGGTACTGAGTGATAAAGGCAGTCCACACGGGGGCTCTAACAACCAGTCAGCTTTGGTAGTCCGTATGGATATGTAGCGTACCGTTTCATCTCCCCCTTGTGGACGGATGCCTGCAGCCTCACGGCTCCGGATACCTTGTCCCGGTATATGCGCAGCGCGTGCAGGTAATTATCATCGAGGATCTGTCTGTTGTAGTGTGAGCTTTGAATTAGGCTTTGTCTGTGGTAACCTACCCTCCAAAGAGCTCTTCTTCGTTGTCGAGCTCGTAGTCACGGATGCTCTCCACAGGTCGACCGGCGTCTTGGGAGCGTAATGCAAGGAATGTGCAGAAGAAAAGAACCATCTCTGTGCTCATGTCAAAAAGGGCCTTCCTTGCGCAAAGCAAAGGTCTTCAATGGGCAAAGAGGGACATACGCTCGATGGTGCTGAACTTGAGGTTCGCCCACAGGACCAGCTCATATCCTCCACGCCGTCGCCGGCACAGGTTGAGACAGGAGCCGACCCGGACGATCTCCAGGAGGTTGAGAGGCATGCAGAAGTATTCGCTCGGTCGAGTGGTGTGGGGCGCCTTGCACAATATCCGCGCTCGGTGGTCGTCCTCGCGAAGATAGAAATGCACGCGAAGGTCCGAATCGCCAGTGAATGCTCTGAGACGGTTAGCTGCAGGCTCTCCGTAAAAGCAGGAGCGGACCTGGTATATGCTCACAATTGGAAGAGTTCCTCAAATCCTTCATCTTTGAGCCACCGCTTGACCCCAGGAGAATGGTCACCGAGACATTTCGAACTAGTGCCATCGTGCATCAATAGCTAGATCAATTGCCTGGAGATATGTTTATGCTCACCTTTCGCCTACGTAAGGAATGGGGGTCATTGTAATCTCATCTAGAAACACCCGCTTGGCCCAATGGTCGCTCACTAGCGTATTGGAGCCAGCGGATTGACTGGTTGTGGTCGTCGAGCCGGTAGTAGGTGATCCCGGCGCATCAGGCGCAGACGGGGGGATGTCCGAAAATGTCCCTGATGAAGGAGAGAGGGGCGATTGAGGCACGCGATGAGATGGTCTGGCTCGCTCGTACGACCTACGGTTACGGGGTCGTCGATCACTGACTGGACTTCCTGGCTCGGCACTCGTGGTGCTCGAGGACGGGGTGCCGAGGGAGAGGCCGCTAAATCGCGGAGTAAGCCGGTTTTCCTGAGGGATCAGGAGACCCTTGAGGTTGTTGCGCAGACCGCTCATAAGAGGTGTTTCGGGAAATTTGCTGCCACATCATGTCAGGATCCGACCTAGAAGAAAACAAGCTGAACGTACTCCTTGATCAAATCTTCCAATTCCCGGAGAAACGCCTTGTACTTGGCCAGACGAGTGGGAAGCGGCTCGTGAGACTCCTTCTGGAAGAACGCAGTAAGGCCAAGCCATGTTCGTTTGTAGATCTCGCGGTTCGACCCTTTCTGCACTTCAATGTCGCCGAAGAAATCCACAATGTCCTCGAGTGTATACTTCAAGCTGGTCTGTACCAGATCCAGGTCTTCTTTGGCGATAGCCACATTGCGCCGATAGTGACGATTCTTGGTGAGGTCATCCAGGCTTGTCAAGGATGTGCTGATGGAGTAGAGGTCGGCAATGAGACTGGTGATCTCCGTTGCATGTTCGGGCAGAGGATCGCGCAGCATCCGGAAGCCAGCTGCCACATCCTCTGCGTTGTCGGCCGATGTGCGCAATGCCATTGCGAGGATCACATCACTGGGCCGCGGCCTCCTACCAGGGTTCTCCCTCGGGAGAGTGGGGGACGTTATGTACGATTGGAGAGACGAGCCGGACTCGTGCTGCAAAGCAGTTGACCAGTGTTGTGTTCAAATAGAGAATATTGAGATGCAGAAAATTATACACGCGGGGACCGCACAA